GTTGCATTTGTCATATGCAAGCTAACACAAGGTCGACATGTTGAACAAGAAGAAACCGTCAGCTCAGCAGTGCAACAGTTCAATTAAAATAAAAGCAAGGTAAAAGGAGCTTATTATAAAAAGCTCCAATACAATATAGAACCGAAGCTATATACATTCAGAGCTGCAGCGTCACATTCGTTGAAGTGAATTAACAACTTTAACAGTATGGAGTGTGTGTGACTAGTTATTACACACGTGTACATAAAGTTATTGCACTTTGTGTGTATCAGTTGTAATACATATTGTTAAAATTGGATGAAATGTACTCTGTATACTTTAGCTGTACTCTGTTATAGAATGTGCAATCACGTGTAATAATATCCAACGTGTACAATCCGTGCTGCAGACCGTCCTCCCCGGCACAGGGGGCGCTCCACCCCCCGGGTCACCGCCACCTCTGGCACCCGCTAGCTTGCCATGCTACGTTCCTGCACCCGCGGCTAATCACTTCCGGAGAGTGTTATTATCAATGATTTTGTCACTCGCGTGAGATCAAAACACTTCTCCGGTGTTTGTCTTGTGTTGTCTCGGGAAAACAATGTCGTACAACTACGTGGTAACAGCGCAGAAACCCACGGCGGTGAACGCCTGCATCACCGGTAAATACCCGCTGCGTGCTCGGTGTTTTTCCTGCGGTTGTCCGCCACCTGTGTGTTTAGCCGCCGAGCTCCCGCGCTGCGAGCACCCCCCCCCCTGCTCCGGACAGGCCCGGGGCTGCAGCTAGCTCCTGTTGTGCTAACTCAAATGTCCGCTGGCTACGTTAGCTGCGGGTTTATCTGTGTGTGTGTGTGTGTGTGTGTGACGCTGACACGTCTCTGTCGTGTGTGTGTTCGTGTCCCACAACCCGGGGAAGCGGTGCTCTTGCTCGGTGTAATGTGTCGGCTGCTGTCGGTGGAACCGGTTGTCCCAGATCTTAAAGAGCGGTGTCCATCATCGTGATAATCTGATAACACTTCATGCACATCAAACTCTGACACGTGCACACACAACTGGGGGGGGAAATAGCAAAGAAGCCAAATGTCGTTCGGTGTTTCGGGCCAGAGAAAACAGGAAATGTAAAAAAAACACTGGTGTTGAAACCGTGAAGAGCAGAACACGAGTTTGCTCCAGATGCTTTGATTAACCTCCATGTGCACGTATTACTTAAAGATCTTTTAACTCTAGTGTCACACACACATTTGAGGTACTTGTACTTGACCTGAATATTTCCCTTTCACGACAACTCATACATCCACATTAGTGGAGATCTACTGGACTGTTCATGTGACATGTGATAGTGTTGAAGTCTCGTGTTGCAGCTGAACAGCCCTCACCTCACCCTCTCCTTCCAAACATGAAAAAGAAACTGTGGTAGACTTTAATTTTCATAAAAACTCAAAAGGTGTTTAGTTTGTTCAGTCTGGACTGATGTAAAAAAACATGGCGGCCTCTGTAGAGAGGATCCCCTCCATGTAAATATAAAGCATTTGAATATAAAGGGTAAAGAAAACTACAATTCATACAATTTAGATTAAACAAACTAGTGAAAACATATTATTCTACATTAAATTTCTGCCAATAGATCCCTTTCACCTGAATCTTACACACTGCACCTTTAATTTATTGTTTATTATGTTCATGCAATACACGAAGAGTTTATGAAATAACATGGGTAAGTATAGCTATAATGACTCATCAGGACATATGAGGAGAATGTGGAATTTGCATTGCACAAACAGTATGAAATAACCTTAACTTCCCCTTGTTGTAGTGATAATATGAAGCTAAGATCACCTCTGTCTGTTCCTGTATCTGTGTAAAGGTTCCACTCTTGTTCACAACATACTTGATGTTGTAATTCATCATTTTGTTTAAATAACAAAAAAGTTTTCAGTTCTTAATCAACTGAAATTGTTGTGTTTGCAGGTCACTTCACCTCTGCAGAAGATCTCAATCTGCTCATAGCCAAAAACACACGGTTGGAGATCTATGTGGTCACACCAGAGGGGCTGAGGCCCGTCAAGGAAGTGGGCATGTATGGAAAGATCGCTGTCATGGAGCTCTTCCGGCCCAAGGTAGGCACTTTGAGTATGAGTGTGCGTACGGTGAATGACTAAGCGAAATTCCTTTCAGCTTGTTGTCATCAGTAGATGTTGCTGAATATCTATTTTCAATTAACTTCGAGATAAATTAAATAACCTTTACAGATTTATAGTCTGTTGTTCCTGTCATCTTTAAGTGAAGTTTTCAAATGTTATGTGAGGCATTTTTTCCACTTTTGTTTGCTTAGATAGATTAAATTATTAATCAATTAACGGAAAAAAATAATCAGAAGCTTAATGATTTATGAAAATAATCAATTGCGGACGATATTTCTCACAATTCATTTGTAGTGCCTGTAAGGTGAATCTGCTAGCTCGTATGTGGCTACATTAGCTTGTGAAGTTTAGAATGGGGTTGAGATTGATCATACAATCGACCGCTGCTGCTGCTGCTGCTGCCTGTTCTACTGAACTCTGTTGATTAAAATAAAATAAGGCTGATGGGTGTCTTGCTCTCTGACGACTTCAGTGTCTTTTCTTTTTTATTTGTTCAGGGTGAAAGCAAAGACCTGCTGTTTATTCTCACATCCAAGTACAACGCCTGCATCCTAGAATACAAGCAGAACGGGGAGAGCATTGACATCATCACACGTGCCCACGGAAATGTCCAGGTGGGTAAGAGGGCAAAACAAACCATTGTTAAAAGCATAAAACGTTTCTAAACCAAAGGCTCTTTTTCAGGATCGTATTGGACGTCCGTCTGAGACCGGTATCATCGGAATTGTCGACCCAGAATGCCGCATGATTGGTCTGCGGCTTTATGACGGGCTGTTCAAGGTGATCCCACTGGACCGGGACAACCGTGAGCTCAAGGCCTTCAACATCAGACTGGAGGAGCTGCAGGTCATCGATGTGCACTTCCTGTACGGCTGCCAAGCTCCAACTGTCTGCTTCATCTACCAGGTACATGGAAGGAGGAGTGTGTGTTTGGTTTGGTGTTTGTTGATTTGACATATTGTCGTATTGTGTGGAAGCAGCAGAATGATGATGATTATTTAATATTGGTTATACTCCTGCCGTAATATTTTTTTCCAAAGTATAACCCGGTGTCCTGTTGTGCACTGTAGGACCCCCAGGGACGCCATGTGAAGACCTATGAGGTTTCTCTGAGGGAGAAGGAGTTCAACAAGGGCCCCTGGAAACAGGAGAACGTGGAGGCTGAGGCATCAATGGTCATCCCAGGTAATCAGTGCTTATACTGTATATTAACTAAAGTCAACAATTTGAAGGCAGTAGAACAAAAATCACTGCAGTCATGTTTTTAGTATTATTATTTGTATATTTGTTACTAATAATTTTTTAACACTTAGGAAATGAAAGAAGGCACAGAGAGGCCGAGTTAATGCAGTTGATGAATTGATCAATTAAAAGCACAGAGGTAGATAAAGCGGTAACACATGGTCATAGAATTGTATTAGTTGCAGCCTTATTATATATCAACTTGTTTAAAATACACAAACTGTCTGATTCTGAAATTGTGCAGATTCAGCATTTTTACTCTCGTGTTTATGTGCTTGTATTTTAGTGCCAGAGCCATTTGGTGGCGCTATAATCATAGGACAGGAATCCATCACCTACCACAATGGAGACAAATACTTGGCCATTGCTCCTCCTACTATCAAGGTAAAGACGTCACATCACAGCTTTCTCTGTTCAATGTTTTCATTTAACTTGTTTCCAGGATATTATGGGAGCAGCTACTTAGTGTTCAATTAAACAAAAGATCTGCAGCCCCCTCGTCACGATGATCGAAGGGTGTGCAAAGAATAATCAGTGTCTCCCCCCAACAGACCTTTTTGTACAAAGGACATAAACAAACAAGTTAGAAAAGTCTCTTGCAAGGTTGATGAAATGTACCGTCATAGGTTTCTCCTCTCATGTGTTGTCAGATTTCATAAGCACGTCGTAATAGTCGTAATAATTGGACGTTCTCTGTTTGACGGTTAAGATTAACTTCCACATTTGGTGGGAAGGAGAAGCTCCAGCAAAAAAATGTGTCGAGTTGAAGCAGATGTTTCGCTGCATTTAGGAGACCCCGAGGTGCACGTGTACGTTTATTTGTCATGAATCTTGTTTGATGTTGAAATTGGATTTGAAGGAAGGTTTATAACTGCTGTGATGATGACTTAATCTCCCCATACACCTCTGCTTTTAGTGTTATCAAGATGAAGTTGCAGTCTGTGCTGTCGTGCACATTCACCAAAGCTCAAAGGAGCTCTTCAGCAACATCCTGCGTCTATAATTACCCA